ACGAGCTAACCTGAAAAGGTTGTTCCAAAGCGGGCTTTCATTATTTCTCCCCATGCTAACCCTATCTCATATAAATAGTCCTTAATCACACTTTTGAAAGGGGGAGACATTTTTTGGAGAGCGGATTCGGCCCAAGGAGGCAAGAACACAAAGAAAAGAGCAAGACGGAGAATTCTTCTACGAGTTTTTCACTTTCTTCTTCATATTTTTGTTGTTGGTTATGATTTTTTATATTGTAATGTTACATAATATTATGAGTAGTTAAACCCGTCATCTAGGGTTTGATGGAACCAATTGGAGGATGATTTTCTACTACTTCTAATATAGATTTTACTTTGATTTTTCTCTACTTGTTCAACTATATTATCATTTTTTTTATTGAAGAGCTAGCAATTAACTGTGCCTATTTAGTGTGTATATTGCTTGAGAGAGAATACACATTTAGGTAGTTGTTGAACAACACCACTCCTAAAGTATTTGAGAGATCAATACAGAGGGCTTAAAGGCGAGATTAGAAATAACGAAACTTTGGTGCAATCGTAGTGAGCGGTGAATTAGTGCTAGCTAGCGTAGTTCGAGAGAATACATCTAGTAAATTGTGGTAGTTACTAGAGAGAGAGCTATGACACCTAAAGTACTCACAATCGGTAAAGAATAATTATGCAAATTTATAGGAAACATGGTGGGAGAGATTCCGATAATAAAGGAAATCATAACCCTATACTTTTCCTACTATTGTCTACAATATTTACCCTATTAGTTATAAATTACTACATCTTGATTACTTTGTTCTTAGTTAGTAAATATTCAAATTGTTATTTAGTATTTCTGAAGGTTGAATACTTGAATTCATGCGAAACTAATGATTTTAATTAGTAGGTTAATTCCTTGTGGGATTTGACTCCGGACTTATAAACTGAATTATATTTGCAATAACCGCTAGACTTCTTAGGAGGCATAGTTGGGCATGATAACACAACAATCAGTTCGATTAATGGATATCGGTGCCACAGTACGACATTTCTGTTTCTACGGATACAATGCCAGTAACACAATGCTTCGATTCAATATGATAGATATCGAGGCTGACAACGCGATCTTCCAAATCAACATGGCGAACATTATGATATACAGTTTAATTCATCATGATGAATAGCAGTGCAGTACGCCTAGTCCTCTCCAATTTGGATTTTGGAAAGAAGTTTCCAATGGTATAAGATGAACAACTTTACATCACAAAATCGAGCATCTTCCATTAGAGCGAGCGAGCACAGCTTGTGAAGGAATCTAAAGCCTTTGTCGTCACGTCCTTGTAAGCCTGCAAAAAAAGAGGAAGAGATGCGAGCCTACAATGCATAGTGCACGAAGCTTTTTGGTGCTCTAGTTTATCTCTATTGAGTATAGGGGCTGCTCTAGCGTCGTACATCCCTACTGAGATGTTGTCTCTGAATACTTTGTCTTCATTAAAAAATTGACTTAGCGGTAATATCAAACTTATCATGATCGAGCATATGTCCATGAGGCCTGGTAATCTAAATTACATGGCCCCTCAGTGTAATCAATATGGTTGCGGCATGACTCTTCTCTATAATCATTGGGGTTGCAGCACGACTCCTCTGTGTAACCAATGCGGTCAAGGATGGCTCATCCATACCCGAGTAGCCTGCTATTGTTTTGTAGTAGAAATCTACAAGAAAAAAAAAATAGTAGTACATTGCAAAAATTAAGGCAAGTACATGAAATTAAAAAAAAAAAAGATACTTGGCTAGAGATTTCAAAGACTGCAATTTTCTTCCCCTAGCTCGTGGTGATCATGTTCTTCTTATGTGTTTTGAGGGCTCAATTCTTGTCTATTTATAGATGCTTAAGGGCGGTGTTCCCAGTCTAATTAGAAGTGCATGAGTTGTAGGTTTCTTAAAGTGATAAAATTTTATTTCTTTAAGGAATCAAAATTATCAATATTCTTGAATGTGTCTCAATGTGCATTAATTTTGGGCTTGGAAGCAAGTAAGATAAATCAGATTGCAAGAATATAATATTAACTTTGGATATTTATCCATTTAGCATTACAAGAAACCAAGAGTCAATCCCTTCAAACCACACTTGAAATAAGTCTCAAGAAAATACTAGAGTTGGATTCAAAGGATTGTGTTATTCACCGGTACTTCAAACCTCTTCATCAAAACTCGACAAGTTTATATTGCGACAAGACTTGAAGTAAGGCGCATATGTAGACATGTAAAAATTATTGAATTTAGTCCATCCAAAATTTAGATTAAATTCTAAATTACTTTGGGTCAAATATTTAATGTGGACTTTACAAATTAAATAAGTTTATTTTAATATTTTTAAGCCCAAGGTTCATTTCATCTTAAGGCCGACTCATGCTATGTGTCAAATGACATGGCATATCCAGTCATACTCCAAGCCAAAAAAGTGACGCCACGTGTTAAATGATGTGGCAATCCCAGTCAAAAAACAATGACCAACCAAAGCTCGCCAAGTGTATAATATGACGTGTCTTTGCAATTCACAAGCAAGTTTATCACATAACTTGTGTAGTAGGTTTGATGACTCACATGAGCGAATCAGAATCAAGCAGGAGAGTTCATATATAGCTGGATTATCCATTCTCTACAACTATAAATAGAGGGGTTACATAACTCTCTGGGGACATTTAGAGTTGGAGAAGAGCATTCCGCAATTGGTGAAGACATCCACAAACAGAGAGATCAATCATCAAGTGCATAGTTCTTCAACAACGGAGTGATCAACAGAGTTCTTTCCGGAGATCAACCCGTAATAATAAAGTGTTGCTCGACGTTCTTGACGATTAAATACATACAAGGAGGTCTGCATCGTCCTACATTCGAGAAAGTCGCTTCCAAGCCCTCGAATCACGGAGAATTTTAGAGAGGAGAATTAAGGGATATGTAGAATTTTACTCACAAATATTTATCAATAAAGTCTATTTTTTCTTCATATTATTTTTGTTGCAGTTCATTATTAGTACTACGAAAGTTTGTTGCGAACAAATACAACCTCAGTATTTATTTACGAAATGACCATGACAATCTCAATGATCAAAATACGAAAGAGAAGTTTGTGATCAAAATATACTTGGTGAATGCGTTATCTGAAAATCATTTACTTTGGTTATTAAAAATTAAAGTGTCGGATGAACATGTAAGTAGGTATAAGAAGTAAATGATGAAATATCTTGTACGTACGTAGTTAGGTCTTTTGCCACAAAACATTGTCTGTGAGTTGGAATTGCTAGAGTTATAGCTGCTGGGGTCAATGGCTACGACTGATTGCTCAACCAGTTTATTAGGTCAAATGTATTAATCCCTCGAGCAGAAAACCGAAAAGAAAGGGCATGTAATATGTTCAACCAATTTAAGTTGCTATAAACCTTTGCTATACTACTAATAATTTGATGCTAATACTTATATATAAGTTATAGGAGATGGATTTGATCCTAACTATGAATTCCATGTGATTTGCCGAATTCGTGATCTCATTCCTCTGTTTTAGGTGCATCAATTATGTTTGTTTGATTGCTAGTTCATTACTCATATGATCACTCAATTATCTCAAATTATCTCCTAAAGTCACTTTACTTTCGTTTGTAACAACAAAATCACTGAACTATGCCTATTGCACTCAGAAGGTCACTCAACTAGATTTTCCAAATTTTGGATTGCCAAATACTTATTTTACCCTCTAAATTATAAACGTTTATCTCCTTTTTTTTAAATAAAAAACTTTTTAATATTATGATTTTCTCTTTTAATTTATATTATGGACTTACCTATAAAATAAATAAATATTATTTATAAATTAAAAAAATAGAAAGTATTTAAGCATATATAATGCTGGAATAACAAAATAATGAGCATAGTAAAAAAAAATAATTAGAATAATATGCTGGTAATAATAATTTTAGTATTAACAACAAAAATTCAAAAATTATTTACACAATTCAGAATGAATAAAAATAAAGGTTGTAAAATATATATTCTATGCACATAATATAAAAATAATTATTTAAATAAAGGTATTTTTACAATATACATTATATATTCTTGAAAATTATGCACAATTATATTATTATATTTCTACCAACTTTCCGACAACACAAAGTTATATCACCGGAAAGCAGAGGAACTATCTGTATATAGTAAAATATGTTATGTTAAGTCGTACATGGAATATATATAATATAATTGAGCATAATTTTCAAGAATATATAATGTATATTATAAAAATATTTTTATTTAAATAATTATTTTTATATTACGTGCATGGAATATATATATTTTACAATATTTATTTTCTTTCATTCTGAATTGTGCAAATAAATTTTTGAATTTTGTTTTTAATACTAAAATTATTATTACTAACATATTATTCTAATTATTTTTTTTACTATGCTCATTATTTTATTATTCCAGCATTATATATACTTAAATACTTTCTATTTTTTTAATTTATAAATAATATTTATTTATTCTATAGGTAAGTCCATAATATAAATTAAAAGAGAAAATCATAATATTAAAAAGTTTTTTTAAAAAAAACAAAAGAAGATAAATATTTATAATTTAGAGGGTTAAATAGGTATTTGACACTCCAAAATTTGGAAAATGTAGTTGAGTGACCTTTTGAATGTAATAGGCATAATTCGGTGACTTTGTTGTTACAAACGAAAGTAAAGTAACTTTAAAGATAATTTGAAATAGTTAGTGACTATTTGAGTAATTGAGATAATTTCTCAATCTGGCATTAATTCCCATTTCTGACAAGTACAATTTGACTTGTTAACTTAACTTTTGTGGAGTAGTTTTCCACTATGTTCAAGACCCACATAGCTAAAAGCGAATGGTCAAGAATTCTTCAAATCCAATCAAGCCTTGACACATGTATAGAAAAAAGAACCTTTCTTTCCCTATAAATTTCTGCTAGCATCTTTAAAATTGAACCAAACCAAGAAAACAATTCTCTCTCGTAAACAGGCATAAAAAACATGTCAAAGTTTAGCGCACTTTTCCTTGTGGCCATTCTCCTGTGCTTCAATCTCAAATCTGCAGCTCGCCCTGATTCCACTTTGATGAAAGCACAATTCAAAGTAAGTCCATATCTTAATTATTGTACCTTTTTTGTTTTTTCGAAAATCACGATTCCGTTAAATTAACAGATACTACCTCTGTCACGCAGATCAAATTAGCCCATTACTTCCACTGTTTTAATTTGTTTACACATTTTGATTTTCGAGATTCAAACTATGTGATATTTGATCAACATTTTAAAATATATTTTTATCATATCGATACGAGAAGAATTGTATTTTATAGGACTTTTTCGTATAATTTTCGAATATCTAATTTTAATTTCAAAATATTGAGCTTAACTAATTCAAGTTTGGAAGATTAGTCAAATAATTCTCAATACGCGAAATATCACATAATTTAAAACAAAGGGAGTTTAATTCATCACTATAGAATTACGAGTTCTTGATATTTCTCCGTTTACTAATATTGAGTGATCATGTGGGAAGGATGCAAGAGATGATAAAGTTGAAAATGATGAAGGAATATGTGAAGGAGTAGAGGAAGAGGATTGCTTGAAGAGGAGGACAATGGAGGCTCATATTGACTATATTTATACTCAAAGTAAAGGTCATCCATGATTCAAAGCTTATGGGCTTCACTTTCCTTCAGTGATTGTATGACCAGTCGCTGATTATAGTAAAACTTCTGCCTCGTGGAGGCAACTTTTGTTCCGGTTTTTCGGACACATTTTTTTTTTTTTGTCTTCTTGATTTTGTCACAGTAATCATTCTAAAACGAGTTGGAAGAGAAACTCTTATTTCTTACACATATAAAGTTGATCTGTTAATACCCAAAATCCCAATCAATTGGGGTCGTAATGGCACCTAATACCGCTTGCTAGGCAAGCCAACACAACAACATAATACGGAAAGGAAAGCAATAAATATTTGATAACTAATCAATAACATAATGTAAACCACCCTAAGATTTGGTGTTACGAGTACATAAGTGACTAAATCAAGCTAAATACAAGGTTTTGAAAGAAATACAAAACTCCGAAATAAAATGGAAATAGAGCAATGAAATAGGAAAGTGACTCTAAGACCTGCGAACGAGAAATTGGTCTACCTCGAATCACTGTCTTGTACACTAAGTGCTTCTTGGCACTCCGGTGGTACCAACGTCAAAATCTGCACAAGAAGTGAAGAAGCATAGTATGAGTACAACCGACGTAGTGTACTTAATAAATGTCGAACCTAACCCCGATAAGGTAGTGATGAGGCTAAGGCAAGACACCTACTAAAAACATTTGTATGTGTGTGTGTGTGTGCATGTGTGTGTGTGTGTATATACATATACACACACACACATACATACATACATACATACATACATACATACATACATATATACATATATACATACAACGGAAATAACAACGAAGGACGCCCTCCTCGCAAACGAAGCTGCTCTACCTAGTACAATATCGCAAAAGCGACACCGGGCCATAAAAGCAATCCCAGACCAGATCGCAAAAGTGAGCAGTTGTTCCATCCCACTTTCACTTCGGTATCTCCAATCTCTGAGTCAACTCACCTGGTATCTGATGCCCATACTTCACCTGTTGATAATTTAAACACCTAGAGGCATGACTGACAATATCTTTCTTGATCTTCTGCAGGTAATAGTGTTGTTTTAAGTCACGATACATCTTCGAGAAGCCTGAGTGAATAGAATAGCGCAAACTATGAGTCTCCTCAAGGATGAACTCCCTCAACCAATTAACATTTGGAACATAAATCCGGCCCTGAAGCCACACAACACCATGATCTCCAATCACAACCTCCTTGGAACCACCCTGCAGCACCGTGTCTTCCAACACCAACAAGTTAGGATCATCAAACTAGCAAGCCTTGATATGCTCCAACAGTGATGAATGTGCCACAACACAAGCAAGAACCCATTATGTTCAGGCTTTAGTTTGCTTCCTTTGAGGCCATCTTGTAACATTTCTAAATCTTTTGTGATAGATTATATATGAGTGCTTTCTAAGTTTCCCTCTTGTTCTTTTTTTTCGAATGGATGGAAAGGCCGGTACATGTATTAAAATAGAGTAAGAATACTCTTTGAAAGTTAGCTTATTATAGTACGAAAGTTTTCTGAGTTATAAATAGCTAACGTTGGTTATAGTACAAAAGTTTTCTGAGTTGTGTAGCTTGGCAAACCGTCTCTTATGGGTTGTTGAAGCCAGCCCCTTTGTAAGAAAACTTTTGCGACTATAAACAAATTAACTGTTTGTGTAGCTCGGCAAGTCGTCCCTTATGGGTTGTTGAAGTCAGCCCCTTTGTAGGGAAACTTTCGTATCTATAATTTAGTTTGCTTTCTTGGAGTCTCTTGCTTTGTTCCTTATACTATGGTATCAGAGCCAGCCTATCCTTTTGGAGGGAGGAACAGTTTACTAAATATGTCTGAGTCATTTCCATCATCCTCTTCCCTAGCAAAAATGAATATGTCCNTTATACTGTGGTATCAGAGCCAGTCCATCTTTTCGGAGGGAGGAACAGTTTACTAAATATGTCTGAGTCATTTCCATCATCCTCTTCCCTAGCAAAAATGAATATGTCCCCTACTCTATATAAAACCTTGTCCAGAAAATATGATTACCTCTATGAAGTAGATATCCTACCCGATGAACAAAAAGTATCCTCCACTGAACTACCCCTCATAAACCCCTACTCAGCTTTCACCAAAAAATCATTTGCACCCTGGACCCAAATTCGTTCCTTAGTCCAACACAGACCAAAAGGAGTCAAAGAATATGTTGTTGCCTCAAAACTTGACCAGCATCCTATTCTTGCCACTCGAGAGGAACAATTTATCACTCTTTAAATCCCAGATAATTTTCCTAGACAATGGAGAGATCATGGTTTTACCCATATTCATTGTGGTGCTATCCAAATCGCTTTAACATATCCCGGAAGAAAAGGTCAACCTGTTGTAGCTTGACTTTCTCTTCTAGATACAAGGTACTTGGAGTACCAACATGTAAATGTGGGTATTGCAGAAGTTACCATGAATGCTGGGACTGTCTTCATAACTATCTTTCCAAGTTTCAACATGTCCCTTTATGATCCATACTTAACCGAAGCTCTAAAAATCCAAGTCCAAATCCAAGGAGCCCCTCAAGCTAAAGATTCCATCCAAGCCACTCTTCATCACCAAATGGCGTGGCGAGTCCAAAATCATGCCATGGATCTTTGCCTTCCCGGAGGACAAAATACTTTAATCCTAAATATTAATGCTACCAAAGGAAACACCATGCGCACCCAAATACCTAGACAAATTTCTAGAGATGAACTTATCAAAATTCTTCCTGATTCCTGGATCACAAATTATGAAAAGTTAAGAGAACCAGAGGAATCTCTACAATCTGGTGAACCAACTTTTACCAAAAGAAATGACAAAACTGTTTGCATAAGCTCTGACCATTCCTATCTCAAAAAACCAAATAAAACCATCTTCTTTTGCCAAATGATTCAACCCAAAGATACAACAGATACATACCCTGAATATGATGGAGAATTCTGTTGGAATATACACAGCATCATGGAAGAACAAGACTGGTGTCAAAATTTTGACAAAGAAAGAAAAAGAGCTTGGTGGTTCAAATGCACCTTTACGGGACACTGCACTTGGAATCTTGATTGCAACTGTCAAGACTGTTTGGAAGATCCAATTGGAGAATATGATGAACACCACTAGCGTCATTGGGAAAGGTTCGACCTCAACAAAACCAAACCAAAATCCAAGAAAAAAGGAAAAACCACTGAAAAATAATTTTGAGCCAAATATGAGAATAAAGATCCTTCAATTGGCTCATTAAGCCGTCCAGGTAAATATGAATTTCTTGTTAGTTACAAATCCCAGGAATGACCAAAATTACCAGAAAAATTCACTCCAAGTTGGGAGGATAGTGAAACCACACCCAAACCTAAATCACCATCAACTCATATCCCAGAATCCAAAAAGCCACCTGAACCTGAAACTTCACCGACTCAAAAAATCATAAATCCCACACAACCACAGATATTCATGCTAAGTCCTTCAAGCTCCAGTCATACCCAAGATTTTCCTTCACTTCAACTTTTTGAAAAAGAGGGTATAAGCCATGCTCCAAAAATTTCCAAGAAAAACATAGTGCTACCTACTGGAGAAAAACCCCCAACAAGTGACATCGAAGCAACAATGAACTGGCAATCAGAAAACTCCATCTGCCAAAACAAGGTGTTGAACAACATAGGCAACACCATAAAGAATGTGGACTATACACAAAATAAAATGATAAGCAAAGTGGAAACAATTGAGAAAAAGATGGAGAGGACATCGTCTCACCATGCCAGACTAATCAAAGCCTTGGAACTAAGATTGGAAAATTTACAATATGAGATTTGTCCGCCAGGAACTTCACGTTTCCAGTTCTTCCAACAACAACAAAAGGAGACGATTTCCATCAAAGAACAAATTCAACTTCTGAGACATGACCACTTTGAGCCACAAAAAATCCCAGTTTTCCCCTCAAAACCTACCTTCTTCCCTATGTCTCCACAAGCATATTCCCCACCTAAATTAGACTACACCGTTTCTACTTTTCCATCTACCTCACAAAATCCAATCTCTTTCACCCAACCCTTAAAAGAAGAACATGATTTTGATATCGCAAAAATAGTTTGGGAAAGGAAAGATGCCCTTGCAGCACAGAAACAAACCAAGAAAAGGCGAGACCAAGGAGAAAGTTCAAAAGGGTCCAACCCCAAAAATTTGATCATTTCTGACCAGAAGGCTCTAGACCTCTATGTCTCCCAGCCAAGATACATATCAAAAGAAGATACTCCATGGTCGAAATCTCTAAATTCATCAGACGATGAAACAATGGAAGATAACTCTCAATCAAGCAATGAATCCACAACAAACTCTTCTGAAGACGACAATGCCCTATTATTTGCAAACCAGCCAAGAGACCCAGAAGTATCCGAAATAGATTAGGAACAAGAAGGCATGGCAGATGAGCCAATCCCAGAAAGAAGATATGAGCCCATAGCGTCAAAACCCGTTGGAACTGGTTCCCACACTTTCACCTTACATGACATCAAGGTTTCAAGATGGCCTCAAAGGATCCAAGACTTCTATACTTGGATGGTGACCAAACATTTGGTGGAACGAGAAAAGTATATCATCCTGTTAGAACTCACTTCACGATTCTCAGGAATCCTCAGAGATTGGTGGAACTCACTTGGAATTCAAGACAAAAATACTTTTCTTACTTCCCAAGATTTTGCCTTCAATATCAGAATCCTACATAAAGTTTTCTGCGGAGATACTGGCCAAAGACAGAAGAAAATGCAAAGACAACTCTTCGAGATGAAGTGTGTGTCATTCGACACAAATGACATTGACAGGCATTTTCAAAAAATAGTGAAGATATACTTTGAAATCGGCGGAGACATCAATCTGAAGCAAGCCTTTGTCTCTTCCCTTCCAAAGTTGTTGGCAAGCCGAACCATGACCATCATTGAAGAAAAGTTTCAGTCTATAACACTCCCACAAATTGGTTACATCAGGCAAGCTATTTTTGTCGCATTGGATGACATTTGTACGAAACGCTCTGCCCTAAAACAAATTATCCAACACAATCCAATGTTTGACAAAGCATGTGGCAAATCTGATCTAATCACCGGATCAGGATGTTCCTACCACACATCCAGGCGAAGGAGAGAATTCAGGAGGTTCAGATGGCCAAAAATTCCAGACGGAAAATCAAGGT